AAAAAAAAAAAAAAAAAAAGCCAATAGCCAGAAACTGAGTCTGAGAGTTGACTGGCTTCATTTCTGTAGGCTGCAGGGCTGTTACTTCCTACAGAGAAGTTGAGTGACATAATGAACAAAGCCCAGGGAGTCATGTGACCTGGATCTATTCTTGGCTGTGCCACTGACCATGTGTGACCTTGGGCAAGTCACTTTTTATCTCCCATCTCAGTTTTCTCCACTGTATAACTAGAAAAATATCTTGTCACATAACTAGAAAAAATCTGGGCACAAGAGTTACTGTTGCTCGCTGCTTGAAAAAACATTGTTTTTTTTTTTAATCTACCACAGTTTTCCTTAAGACAATGTGGTATCATGGAGTTTCAGTTCTTCAAATAATCATGACAATTAGAATTAAATTATGTTTTTGGAGCTTAAAATTAGGACCAGCTGAAAATAAATCAGAAAGTGATCTTAACAAAAGGCCAGTACCTCCATTATGTGTGATATGTTTTATTCATATTTACTTGGGGTTGGATGGGTAGGAAAGAGGGAAAGCCCAGCTAGTCTCCTGTAAGTAGAAGGTAAAGGATGCTACAATAGAAATAGAAATAATGAGAGATGAGGACATTGGCAAACAAGGACAAGACTGATGCCAATTCTGTAGATGAAATCCATTTTCTGCAGAACTGTGGGCTTTTAAAAAATTATTTGCAAAGCTCTCCAAATACGAGCTAGGCTTAGAAAATTTTCTAAAGTGGCTGCTTTCATCTAAAAAGAGAAAGGATAATAATTTTAATGCCTAAAAAAGCAACTCTTGCTTTTCACTATATTCATACCCAGAATACTGAACTTTATTTATGGTTTATCCTGCTTTGAAAGTTTAAAATGTTTTAAAACAGGAATGTTCTCTGAGGCTTACTAGAGCACAGGCAGAAAATAGAAAGCAAGCCTAACAGGTAAATACTATCCAGATTTCATTGAGAGCCAGACCCTTAAGCAAACACATAAACCTCTATGGTCCTTGATTTCCTCATCTGCAGAAGTACAGTACCATTTACCTACTTCACAGAGGAACCAGCATATTACATAACCAAAGGAAGGAATTTAAGTCTTCTGTATTAAGCCAAGAATGGACACAGAGAAAACATACAACTCATGCTCACTTGAGTCTTGCCCTTAGAAAAGACTTTGAGGACATTTTTCTCAGAATAGAATATCAACGAGCTACGTGGACTCCATAGTGTAATGGTGAGAAATCAGCTTTATTAGTACTCACAGGGCTGAGACCATAGGGATGTGCTTTTGGTTAGTGAAGAGATCAAAGCAGCAATGCACACTTTGAAAATGGTAACAAAGGTTTTATTCACTGCCTCTTGGGGACTGAACACATTTAGACATAACAATGTTTGCCCAGTTGTAATTCTCACAGAGGAGAAAGACCATTAAATACTATGACAGCAATTCTTCCCAAATACTTTCTCCATTCTGGCTCAGCAACCCTTACAATAGCAAAGAGCAAAAAAATCTGCTCTTTGATACTTAGAGAAACTGCGAAGAGATTGAAAAGAGTTCTTGAAACTCTAAAGAAGAGATTTTAGAGAGCATGAGACAGTGTTACAATCACCTGTGTGCTGCTCAAAAGATGCTATTCATTCAACTTCATTTGCCCAAATATTAACACTTGGTAAACCAAGAGGTTTCCCAAAATTACTATAGTGAGTGAATCACCAGGGAGGGCTTCTCCTAATAAGTAGACAGTTCTCTTTCTCTTTGAAAGGTCCTTACTTTTCCTTCCCTATTTCACAGAAGACATCACTAGAGAAAGCACCTAGGCCTAGATGAATGTGGATAGATACTCATGTGGGCAAAAAACAGAAAAACAGGGCAACTATGGCTAGAGCAGTGTTTAACAACAAGCACTGCTGTCTGATGGATTTCTAGACTACTGGTCTTCAGATCATATCATGTTCTCCAAGCTTCTCTAACAAAAACATGAATTAGAGCACTCCTACTGGAAAGCCTATGGCAGGGGTGTGAGGACTAGTGTCCTGGCAGCAGCATCCTAATGGTGTCTCCCACCCCACTTTGACAGCCTTATCTATCCTCCCAGTTAGCCTTCTGGCTGTGCCTGCTACTTCTCCATTAATGGCCAGATCCTGATGACAAACATGAACATTAAAGAGTCCTGGCTACCTCCAAAATATTTTCCCCAATAGCCTGTCACTTGGAAGACCACAGAAAAAAAAAAATGTTATTTAATTTGAAAGGTGTTCATCATTAGCAGTGACCTATGACACTTTAGGAGAGGTAGGTAGAGTTCCAATAAGATGGAACATAAAACAAGTCAGTATTAAGGAAATGGGAGATGAGTTGGTTAAAGAAAAAAAGCTTAATTAGCAGTCTGCCTCCTAGAGAAGTGCATTACAGAGATCTTGGTCATTTCAGGGCAGTGGTGAGGTAAGGATGTCCACAAGGAGGATGAACTCTCTTCTCTCTCCCCCATCCTCAAACATGCAGTAAGGCAGTATTTGTTGAAAGCCTAATAAACACAGAAATCCAGATAACTTTGGGAGATTTTTTACTCTTAGCTAGGGAACTTTAGAAATGCAAGTGAGAGGGAATGCTCCATTTCCCAGACCCTTGCTTTATAGGCTGACAAGGTAAAGAGGTTCATTTCCTTCTTTACATCTTCCCACTTTAGTAATTACTATTTTATAAAGCATAGAGTTGATGCTTTGTCAGCACTTCAGCACAGACACTAAATATAGGGATGCTTCAGTTCCTTCACAAGGCCAGCCTGTTGGTGCAAGCTTATGTTAGCTGCAGGTGAATACAATTCCCATAGTTTAGCATCTCTGCAAGATCAGGCAAATCAGATTAACAGCTGTAATTCTGTCAACACAGGCTGGGACCTGTTGAGAATTAAGCTGATTTTTAAGACAAAGGCCATGTATATCAAAATATAATGGCTACTATTAAAACCAGGTCCCAACAAGAGATTATGAATAACCCCTAAACATGGTCATATTACCAATAGTAGCATCACTACAAGGTATGAAATATCCATTATGAATTTTCACACTGATATAAATAAAGTTGTAATAAGAAAACCATTAAAAGCAAGAACATCTAAAACACATCACAGCTTGGGATGGTGTGCATGAATCCAAAACTTTAGCATAAAACTAGATTTCAAGGCATGGTATATGAGATAAGAGAGAAGCATTTCTCAATTTTCTATCAAGAATGTTTACCATCATCACATCAAGTTCCAGTCTGCCCCCACTCCTCTTCCTCTGGGAACAGCTCTACAATTTTATGTCGGGAAAGGGAACATGACCAGGATATGAGACCTACCCTTAGAAAATCATAGGACCTATGGGACCCCATTCCCTTGGCCAAAGCGTTTAGTCTAGGCAGGGTTAAGCCTGTGACAAAGGCTTCATCAATCACAGTCAGTGCATTGAACACTCAGTGAGAAAGAAGAAGCCTAGTACAGGCCTAGGGGCCTGGGAATTTTCTCTAAAGCTGCATATTTAATGTATCTCAACTAAGAAGGCTGATGAGAGAAATGTGTGTCCAAACACAGGTGGCTTCAATAGCAGCACCTCTCTAAGATGTAGTGCTGTAAGGAACCTGAAGACTACCATACCCCGTTTGCACCAGTTCTGAGACCTAAAAAAGATAGAGAAAGACACTGGAAAAAAGTGGATACTCTTTTGGGAAAGAAGACTGGCGTTTTTCATCCTTCTCAGCTAGTAGTATTAATAGCAGTTACCATAAATTCCCCACTTATAATGTACCAGAAACTACTGAGCATTTTACCTATATTATCTCATTTAGTCCTCACACCTTCTCCTAAGAGACAGTATTATCCCTATTTTACAGACGATAAATTAAAATTAAAGAGGCAAGCAACTTGCAAAAATCTGAGGTAGTCAGTGGCTGGTCAAAGATATGAAGCTACGTCTGACAGGTTTATGAGTTTAACCATTATAATATATTGTCTCGCAACTCCTCTCCATTGCTTTTCTCCATTGAAGCCACTGCTTCTTAGTTCCTGCAATATGTCTAACTATCCATTGGTCCTGCTCCTGGACTATAACAGAGTTGAGGAAAAGGAGACTAGTGTCTAGATATCTGATCAAGACAAGCTGGGGCCTCTTTGATTCATTGTGGAAGCAACATCTTCCACAATGACAGCTAATCTGGTATGCAATCTCAGTTTTACTGTTTTCCCTCCCAAAAAAGGGTTAATAAGTCTGCAATCCAAGAGATTTGCAGTAAGCCCTAGAAACAGCTGAGCAATAGCTGTTGAATCCCATTGGTGTGCCTATAAGATGCTACCTGGTGTAGACAACAGGATATAATTCTTTCTCCCAGAAATTTAGACCTCTCCAGCACACACACACACACACACACACACACACACACAAGATGGCATAGCAGATGATGACACATGTCCCATATGCAAACATGAATAGTAAACATGCCTCAGTACAGCTGGAGCCAGTGGCAGAAAGTCAGATTGTCTGCTACTCGACCTGATCTTCTTAAAGGATTGGGTCTGGACATTCACCACTCCCTGACTGAAACACCGTATATATACCACAGGTTCAAACTCTGCATTCGGTCCATTCAGAATGTGTGAGTGCTAACATGGAACCCTCCAGCAGACAGCAAGCAGAAATTTGGATGATTAAAATAAAGGGTTTTGTTTGGCAATCTCAATTGCAAATGAGGATAAGGAAAATTCTCCCAACTCACACTCTGCTTCCAGCTGCTTGTCCTTGAGTTAAATGAGGGCTTGGCTCTGGCCTCACGGGGCAAGGGCACTGCTTGTTATTTGGTGGTGGGGGAGGGGGTTGAGGGATCGGTCAGCACTTACATGCCTTTGGAGAATCTGCCTTTACAGAACTTGAAGAGTTCTGATGGAGGAACAGAGATGCTGTGATAGTAGTGGCCTTGGAGGTGGTGGTGGTGGCGATGGTGATGATGATGAAGAAAACGGTGATGATAAATGTCACCTATAAACGCAAGCACAAAGCAGCAACAGATACACTTCTAGTCATTGCCAACCATAGTAATGAAGCTGCTTCTGTTCTCGGTCCAGTCCCATTGCGGTGCTCCCCCTCTGCGCTAAACACATCCAGCTTCAAAAAAAACCGCTGTATCTCTCCCTCCCCCCGCCCTTCCGCCCTCCACCTTTCCTGTGCCAAGCTGGGAATGAGACTGCACTGGCGGGTTAAGGGGGCTGGGACCTGCGAGGTTCGACAGGAGTTCTGTAGTGAGGAGCGTTGGGATGACCCGGAGGGCCCACCAACGCACTTCGGAGCAGAGTGGTGTGGAAGCTGAGGAAACCACATAGAAGGGGAGGAAGATAAGCTGACGGGGTAAATAGACTTGATGCCTCATTCCAAGAACCCTGAAGCCGCGGGGGAAGGCGGGGCAGGGAGCCTTTGGTCGGGAAGAAAAGATACGGGCAGATGGCCAGCAGAACAGACAAGACTCTCTTTACCTGACCAGGTGCAACAGCCGTAGCGGCTGCAGCGAGGATGCCGCGCTCCAGTCCAGAGCCAGAGCCCGAAGCGGCCGCTGCGCCGACCTCCACCGAGGCCCCGCCCTCTCCCCGCCCCTCAGGCAACAGGCCCCGCCTTCCTAGCACGCGCCGGCCTGACAAGCTGTTTGGGGGAGGTGAGTAGTAAACTGATAGGCAGGGCGCAAGACCAGTGGAAACGTAAAGCGGCTGGAGAGGTGGGGCGGGAGGCAGTGGCGCCCAATCAGCTGCGGAGCCGCGCGGCCTGACTACGGAGCAGTCCTTTGGCGCTGTCTGTTCCGGGCTGCCGGATTGGAGGCGGTGGTCTAAGAAGGACAGCCAGGGCAACAGCTTGTTAGTCTCTCGCTTCTTGTCCCCAGCTTGCCTGTTTCCGAGTGCCTCTCAAGGCGCACGCTCTGGACCTGTTCAAATGAGGGAAGGGAACCGGTCTGTAACTCCCACAATTCCCGAGGTTCCCACTTCTCCAGATCCGGCGAGGCCGTTTCGCTCCAGTGGCCGGATCTAACCCCTGGCCCCTGCACCCTGCCCTCAGCCTAGCCATTCTTGATGGTAAGTGCTAAAAGGAGCAAAGGAGGAGAACTCAAGAATCCACACGTAAGCCCAAACCCTGACATTAGTCTTTTCCCCTCGCATCTCCTGTCTACACTGCCTCCTAGTAGCTTTTTAACCAGAACTGCTGGATGGCGTGTAAGTTACTTTCACTGGTTGAAATAAACGCAAAATAGGTTTACGCTGAGATAAGGGTAAGGGCCTTGGCGATCTGAGAAAGAAAGACTGAGTCCGAATGTCAAGAGGCCTGGGCCTCACGAGGGAGTTTCTCTGCTTATTTGAACACCGCAGAGTTGAAGATCTTGTTACTGCTATTTCTGTGCTGGTGAATCAGTAGAGACCTTGATGCCAAAGTACTGTTTTGTCCCCAAGTGTCTAATCATTACTGAATGAACTACCTTCAAACTTTTCCTAAGAGGATTTGAGGTCTTAATGTCGTTGAGATTTGGAATGTGATTTGAGTGACACTGAGATCTTTTCCAAGTAGGCAAGGCAAGAAAGGGCATTGTCTTTAATCTGCTTTTGGATAAATGCAAACCGTATTATCCATTTAGTACTTGAAGACAGAATTTTGTCCTGATAGATACTGTTTATAAATAAATAGGAACATTTTGGGAGGTATTTTTAATGTGACTTTTTTCACTATTTGTTTTCTAGAAATAATAGTATATGGGAATTCTGATTTATTCTTATTCATAATATTAGCCAAACACTGATCGGCACTTTATTTATTTGTTTATTTAACACAGGGTCTCACTCTGTTACCCAGGCTGGAGTGCAGCGACATGATCTTGGCTCACTGCAGCCTCAACATCCTGAGTTCAAATCATCCTCCCACCTCAGCCTCCAGAGTAGCTGGGACTACAGACGTGCACCACCATGTCCAGCTAATTTTTTTATTTTTTATTTGTAGAGACAGGGTTTCAGCATATTGCCCAAGCTGATCTCAAACTCCTAAGCTCAAGCAATCCTCCCTTCTCAGCCTCCCAAAATGCTGGGATTACAGTTGTGAAGTACTGTGCCTGGCTCCATAGGCACTTTATGTAGATTATCTCCTTCAATCCTCACATATTCCTCTTGTAAATTCCACTTATAGATAAGAAAACTGAGGCTCCCAAAGTTCAAATAATTGGCCTTGGGTCACATTGGTAGTTAGTAGTATAGTCAATACTAGGTCAGTACATCTTCTGCCTAAAAATCATTATCATCAGTTAAGAGAATAAGAAGACTCAGTGCAACTCTTGATTCTTTGATGTGTTTTTCTTTTTACCTGAAAATTGTCATAGAGGGATCCAGTTTTCACACTATTGACTTCTTGAAACTGCAGCCTCAGAAGCACCTCTAAGATTGAAGCACCACTTCTGAAATGTGTTAGGAGCAAAGCGAGTCAGCTTTGCTCATGGAAGGGAGCTGAGATTTGCTATTGTTTGGAAGGAAGTAAATTTTTGCAGGGCTTGAGTCAAACTAGGTTTTAATTGATGTAGAAATCTTTTAAAGTTCACCCACAGAACAATATCATGGTCATACGAACTTAGTCCTAGAAAGGTAAAAGGATGTTAATCCAAAGTCTTATTCCAGCATTGTTTCAATAGCTTTCTGAAGAAATTCCTAAATCCTACTCCATCGTTTAATCAAACCTGGAAATATGTACTTGCTTTAAGGTTGGTGGGGGGAGGGAGTTGGAGGTATTTTATAGAGAAAGAAGAAGAAAAGTGTTTTCCCAAAGAGGCTATTTATAAAGACTAAATAAGTCAAAGGTTATAGATCAACATAAAGGCATACACTAATTAACAAGTTACTGGATTTTTTTTTTTTTTTTTGAGACAGTTTCACTCTGTCATCCAGGCTGGAATGCAGTTGTGCAATCTCAGCTCACTACAACCTTTTCGTCTCAGGTTCAAATGGTTCTTCTGCCTCAGCATCCTGAGTATCTGGGACTACAGGTATTTGCTACCACATCTGGCTTTTTTTTTGTCTTTTTAATAGAGATGGGGTTTCACCATGTTGTCCAGGCTGCTCTCAAACTCCTGACCTCAAGCAATCTGCCTGTCTTGGTCTCCCAAAGTGCTGGGATTACACTGTGAGCCATCATGACTGGCTCGTTAGTAGAATATTTATGTGCTTCTTGCTTAATAAACAGTTACTGGCCGAGAGCATGGTCCCAGGAATTTGAGACCAGCCTGGGCAAAGTAGTGAGACTCAATCTCTACAAAAATAAATGTTAAAAAATTAGCTGGGTGCAGTGGTACATACCTGTAGTCCCAGCAACTTGGGATGCTAAGGCAGGAGGATTGCTTAAGCCATTGCCCTGTAGCCTGGGTGACAGAGCTAGACCAGGTCTCAAAATAAAAAGATAAAAGATGAAAAAATAAATAGCCACTAAGTGCCTAATATATGTTAGATACTGTACTAGACTCTGGGGATATCCAGTTCAATAAAGCCCATTTCCCCATGGAAATGCACAGCCTAGCTGAGAACACTCAATCTGGACCATACTTTAAGAGATCAGTTTATCAACAAAATTGCTAATCTTTACAACCACCCAGCAGGGTAGGTGTTATTACCACCTCAAGGCTGAGGAAAGTGGGACTAGAGAGGATAACGACTCACTTGAGGTTGCATGTTTAAGAAAAAGTCTTGACCCAAAATCATTCTGACCTGGAGGCCCACATTTTCTTTTCTTTTAGACCGAGTCTCGTTCTGTGGCCCAGGCTGCAGTGCAGTGGCACGGTCTTGGCTCACTGCAACCTTTGCCTCCCGGGTTCAAGCAATTCTCCTGCCTCAGCCTCCCGAGTAGCTGGGATTACAGGCATCCACCACCACGCCCAGCTAATTTTTTGCATTTTTAGTAGAGACAATGTTTTGCCAAATTGGCTAGGCTGGTCTCGAACTTCTGACCTCATAATCTGCCCACCTCAGCTTCCCAAAGCACTGGGATTACAGGCATCAGCCACTGTGCCCGGCAGAGGCCCACATTTTCACAGTATACCATACTGTCTTCCTAAGAGAAAAAGCTATCTCTAATAATCCTTAACGAAATGTGTTACTCCTAAAACATGTGAAATATATGATACAATGCCTATGAATTTGAAATTACTAAATTTGGTCAATTTGCTTATCAAAGGGAACCAAGAAAATGGAAATAATGGTCCCTGCCTACATAGGGCTTAAGGTACTATTTACAGATTCTCCTTTGAAGTCCCCAGGGTTAAGTAGGATTTCATGAGATTCCCCATTTATTCTTGTGTTATTGTATACATATATTTTAATATATAAGTACATATACAATTAATTTTAATGTATATTAATACATGTAATAATTTTCATTCAGGATTCCTGGCTCATACCTCCCCTAGCCATTGTTGGTCTTTTGTTATATTGTTGTACATGTTAGGCTTCAGGGCCAGGCCTCAGAAAACAGAATCTCTCTCCTGCCCTATCCTTATCTGCTCCAAGGCAGGATTTTAATCTCCCCACTTTCTGACTGTGGGTCTTAAGACCCTCCCCATGGAGGTTCCCATCCTATACACTGGAAGAAGAAATGCTGACATCGTGAAGCTTCTGTAATAGCCCAAGAGGACGGGGTGTGGAGAGCTTTTAGAGAACTGAACCTGGAGAGGCTGCAGGAAGGTGAAGAAAAACTCATCCATGTTCTAGGAGGATGGCGCAGCCCAACTCCTGGGGACAGAAGCTCCCACACTTGGGACCCTTGCAGACCTCACTCTATATTAATTTCTTCATCTGGCTGTTTATTTGTATTCTTTAAAATATCCTTCTTAATAAACTGGTAAATGTGTTTCTGGGTTCTGTGAGCTGCTCTAGCAAGTTAATCAAACCCAAAGAGGGAGTCTTGGGAACTCCACCTTAAAGCTGGTTGGTCAGAAGTTCCAGAAG